CTGAGCTCGTCCTATCTGCTGGCTTAGGCTGGCGTTGGCGCTCGGCTCAGGAGTCCCTCCTTACCTTCTAAAGCCTGCGCCTCGCTCTTTTTTCTTATATTCAATTATTGCCTTTTGATGGCACTTTGGGAAGAAAGGAGGCAAAGCCATTTGCCTCTCTAGGTCCAAGCCGGCTCTGCAGCTCTGTCTTTTCTTTTTTGGCCCTTCTTGGGTTTCTCCGACGTATTTTTTTATGAGTGCAGAGATTTTCACGACTGTCTCTTCCACTTGGGTGAAACAGGGGAGAAGGGAAATAATAATAACAGCAATAATAAAAATCAAAAAGCAGCTTGATGTGGGCAAAAGAAGAAAACAAGAGAATGGGGTAGAGAACAGGCTAAATTTAAAATTGTAATTGGCTGACTTCCACAGGCTTGCGGGTGTTTTAATGACTCATAATAACTTCATTTAAAACCAGCTGAGCAGAAAATAGATTGGAGAGGAGCCTCAGGCCATTATGGATTTGTTTTTTTTTGACAAGCTCTGTTTTCGGCAGCCAGGAAGGCACTCGCAGAGGGCTCGGCTGCTTCGCTCTCCCGAGTTGGTGGTCTGCCCGACAGAGATTGTATAGAAACCGGGGCCGGCTCCTCCCCCCCCCCCCCCCCTTTCTTCCCCCCCCCTCCTTTTTTTTTCCCCCCTGATTAAAAATAGATGCCTTGAGGTATTATTTTAGCATCACTGTGGTTTGGTGCTTTTTTTTCTTTGCACTTTTGATGTGGTAAATGGAACATAAATAAAATTGTTTTTGAAATTACTGAATTAATTAGGTAGTAAAGCGACGACAGTGCATAAATTTACTTGGCAATTTTTCTTTAATCCATATTTCCCCCCCCCCCCCCCTTTCTCACCCTTCTTGCCAATTACAGCCTGTTAATAATATAGAATCCCAAATTTTTATTAATCCCCTGTGCTGGGGGAGGGAGGGGAATAGATGGCGCATCGTACCGGCGGGGCCGTCATGCCGAAACCGCGGTGGGGAAGGGCCGGGGCGTTGCTGCCGCCAGCCTGTCCTCCCCCACCACCCTTCCTCCCTGCGTGGCCGCGGGAAATCGCCGATTGCCCATCGTTCTCCCCCTCTACCCATCCTCCTCCGGAGGAGGATGCTCGCGGCTCCTCTTTTTCCTTTTCCCTTATTTTTTCTTGGGCTACAGTTTGTATTTTCGGAGCACCTCTCCCCGCAGCCTCTTGGCCCCCAGCCCCATGGACGTTTGTCTCCTAAACCAGGGATGGGGACACGGGCGCGGGGAAACGGCGGTTTAGCCAACGGTGAAATCGGTTGGGAAGGGGAAGGAGGCGTCTGCTGCGCCTGCCCCCTCCGCCGCGCTCCTCTGCGGGGAGAGGGGTGGGAAACCGGAGCCGTCGAGCGGCCGAGGGGCTGCAGCCCCGCAATTAAGGGCAGGGCAGCAGCGCAGGCAGACAGGCAGGCAAAGGAGCGGCGCTCGTAGCCGGTTTGGGACGTTTTACTACTTCCTACCGTCCAAAGTGCTAAAACTGGAGAGCCTATTTCTCGTCCCCAATAAAGTAATTAAAGTGAATGGGTGTCGGGAGGTACTGTTGGGGTGATAGCAGCTAAAACTCAGACGAGCTCTGTCTTGAGACCCACCCAGCTGAGGCTGGCTTTAGGGGAGGGAGCCGGCAGCCCCTGCCTGCGCCCGCCCGAGCTGGGCTCGCTCACGGGGATGCTCACGGGGACGCTCGCCGTGACCCTTCCGAGCATCCCATTTCCGAGAGCTGCTTTAAAGCCCGAGAACGCTGCCCACGCTGGCCAGCGTCGGACTCTCCCCTCGCATTTGGGAAATTAAATAAGCTGGGGCCTGCCTCTCCTTATCGCTTTGCTTCGGGGGCACTGTGGTCCCCGGGCAGCGGTGACCTTGCCGAGGGGGGCACGCCGGGGCGGTGATGACTGTGCAGATAGCGCTGGATGGAAAAAGCGGCGGCTCCTCGTCCGTTCGCGCCAGCCTCTTGCTGCAGGGACCTTTATTAGGCAGGAGCGATAAATTTGCTCACGCGGATATAAATGTACGGCGGGGAGGTTGGTGCCAACTGCGAGGCTCGCGCCGAAACGCGGCTGATACTTGGCAGCACGCGGAGTCCCGTCCCATCGGGAAGATCATCCGGAGATATCTATATACTGTAGGCGATACGAGGCGCTCGCTAAAAATACCCTCCCCAAACTTGTGTGTACATTTGGAGAGGCTAATTGTTTCTATGGGTGTCATTTAAAGCATGGAGAAAAAGCGAGAGGGAGAGAAGAAAGCCCTGACACAGGCTCTGGATGTGCTGCTTTCAAATATGCCCTGCTCCCTTTAATAACAAACATCGAGCCGTGGTGGTTTTTTTCTGAGCCCTGTTATAATAAGCTCAGATGTTGGATGACATTTTTCCCGGTGACTCACATAGTAAAATTAACCTTGAACTATTTACATATTCAATCGCCACCCTCCCTTCTCCTCCTCCTCCTCCCCTCTCCGCGAGCGTGTGTACATTACAGGAATCCTGGCTCCGTATCAGTTTTTGTTTTGCTGATGAGAAAAGGGGAAAAAAAAAAAAAAATTCCCCCGCCTGGAGTATACATCTACTTGAGGGAAAGAACACGCAGTCCTGGCCTTTGGAAATTGGCAGGCAGCGTGCTGTTCCCGCGCTGATAAGAGGTACTGTAAATAAAACTGTACGGCAGCGCCTGCTGTAAAATGCCCCACGTCTGTACTCATTGTTCTGACAGCTCCGGCTTTTTTTGGGTCCGCTGTTTTGGTACACGCTGTGCTTCCTTATGTAAGCGAGCGCGCCCAGCTCCTCCCGGCGTTCGGCCTGTTTATTTTCGCCTCGCCAGGAATTTTTTTCTGTCCCCCCCCCCGGCCAGA